GCAGCACAGGCTTCTGCGGTTTAGCCCACAGCGCCACCACGTCCCTATTTCTCGGCAGTGGCTCCTCGCCTCTGGAACAATCTCCCTCCTGAGATTGTGTTTACAGTATTACAGTATGATTTATGTAATTATTTTGTATTTTTTGTATTATTTCACTGTTTTTACTATATTGAAAGCCGCCTAGAGTGGTCTTTTAGACCAGATGGGCGGGGTATAAATCAAACAAACAAACAAACAAACAAACAAACAAACAAACAAACAAACAAACAAACAAACAAACATTTTCTATTAATCTTTGATTTTTCTTAGGACTCCATTTATTATTTTCCCAACGCAATCTCCCTGCCGCTGAGAGTTTTTTAGTTCATTTATTCTCAAGCTAAGCATGTTAATTGACTTTGGAAACATTTTCAGTCCGCTTCCCTCTTCCGGGAAGAATTTGCTGATCCAGCTTTCGAACCCACCTTGTGAAAAATGCTGAACTAGAGCATCTGGATTTGATTTCAGGGGGGCCCAAACCATACATTACAGCTAGCACAACATTAGAAGGCCGAAATTCTTCCGTGTTTTGAGACATCTGATTGTCACCGCAGAAGCTTCCCACCACCTGGGGAATTTTGGGAGTTGCAACGCGAAAACAGAAACCGGCACGACTTTCTTTCCTTGTGTTCATCACCCATAAAAATGGGGCAGTCTTTCAGGTGCCCAAAGAACCTTTGTTCTTTACCATTAAAAAAAAGAGATTCCATGTATTGTTTTGGTGTCACTGCAATAAAAACAGGGGTGGGGAGCAGTTCCAGGATTGGAGGAACCCACAACAAAGCGGCTTTTAGTGGGACATCTCAGGGGCTGGTGGCTCCTACACTGAAGGTCATCTGGTGGCTGTAAGCCATAATGAAATAAAATCAAATAAAATAAATCCACAAGGCATTTGCACAGTTGCCTTTAGCAAAGGGATTTTTCATTTCCCAGAATACTTTGGAACCCAGGGGGAATTCTGGGAAATCAAAACCGGCAGCATGGCATAGGAGGCTCGGCCTTGGTTCTCTTGCCAGAGGGCGATGCCAGGCCTAACTGAGGGCATTTTCCTTCCCTATCCAGTGGGCTCCGTCCAGGGAAGCATGGGTGACGGAGTTAGCCTTTAGGCTTAAAGCTGAAGGCACCACGAGCTCGCTCATCATTTCGTTGGCTGAGACAAACTGCAAGCAATTCTTTCTTCCATTCGCCCCCCTCCCCGCAAACGAGGCTAAAGTTAACGAATTCTGGAGCAGTCACTTCAGAAAGCTGGCAAGGATGCTCCACCAGGAAATCCCACCGTGTAGATCCTCGGGAAAATTTCCCAGCAGATATTCGGTACCCAAGAAGCCTCGTCATTTGCACAACCACGAAAGAAGGACTAAATTGGCAGACAGGGATCACCATTTATTTATTTACTGGTCTGTACAAATATACGCAATCGTTTCAGAGTGTGAAGCCATTCTTTCTTTAGGACTACAGTTCCCAGAGTCCTATGCAGCCACTCGGGCTACACAGGATTCTAGGAATTGTTGGCCACACGAAGGGGCCTCTCCAAACTCTGAGAATTACCATTGTGTATGCAGAATGGTGGTGCTGGAGGAGGCTCTTGAGAGTCCCCTGGACTGCAAGGAGAACAAACCTATCCGTTCTGAAGGAAATCAACCCAGAGTGCTCACTGGAAGGACAGTTCCTGAAGCTGAGGCTCCAATCCTTTGACCATCTCATGAGAAGAAAAGACTCCCCGGAAAAGACGCTGATGTTGGGTAAGTGTGAAGGCAAGAGGAGAAGGGGACGACAGAGGACGAGACGGCTGGACAGTGTCATCGAAGCAACCAACATGAATTTGACCAAACTCCAGGAGGCAGTGGAAGACAGGAGGGCCTGGCGTGCTCTGGTCAATGGGGTCACGAAGAGTCAGACACGACTAAACAACAACAACAAAAGTCTATAAACAAGGGATCTGAAATCATCACAACAAATATTAATTTTCACATTCCTTGCACAGAAACACAATGCTGCTCAGCAGGTAACCTGCAGCCCTCCTGCTCTCTTGGTGACCCAGATGTTGCTCACTCTAAGTCTACACGGTCAACGTCAAGCCTACCACCTCTTCCTTGTTATCCTTGTTCCCCCCCCTTAAATCTTGAAACCCAGCTGAGGTTGCACCGCCCTTCCCAGCCTCTTATGCAAAAGCGGACGGACGGGCACCTTCTCAAAGACAGGGTTTTTAATGCCTCCTAGGAAGGCAATTCCCCAAAAAGGCAAGGCTAGAAAGGAGGGCTTGAAACATGATTTATTGTTTGACCGATTCGAAACCCAGCTGTGGTTGCACCGCCCATCCCAGCCTCTTATGCAAAGCGGAGGGATGGGCACCTTCTCAAAGATGGGGTTTTTAAATGCCTTCTAGGAAAGCAATTCCACAAAAAGGCAAGGCTAGAAAGGAGGGTTTGAAACATGATTTATTGTTTGACCGATTCCTCCAAGGTGTGAGAAAGCAGCTTGCCCAAACAGCTTGGGTGCCTGATTCAGATCCTGCTGATGGGAGTGTCTTCTCCGGGGAAAGGTTGCGTGAAGAATGTTCCTTTACCAGCTCTTCCAGTTCTCAGGTTCTCCTTCCGGGCCTTTGGGTGGAGGCGGAATCTCAGAATGTCAGGCAAAGGTGAGCATGGAGAGGAGAAGCCGATCTTGGTTTCCAAACATCCATCAGTGAAGGCAGAGCAAGCCTTTGAGCCTCAGAAGGGCCGCTCTGCAAAAGAAACACATACACAAGGCAAAGGATTAAAATAGGCATGGTACAGTGACCGGTCAGCTTAGTGGGATGGCAGTCAGGCTGGAAGGACAGATGCCTCTCATGACCATCTCTGCAGCCCCCCCCCTTCCCGGCACCTAAAGAGCATTTAAACCTGTACGCTGCTGACCCAGTGCCTACTGACAATGGAAAGGCAGGTCTTTTGTAAAGCCAACGCCTCTGAATGGCCCATTCGACACCACACATCACAAGGCACTTGCAAGGATTTACTGGGAAAAATGTCTATCTCCCCCCACCTCACTATTGTGAAGATTGCAGCTCAACTCAGACAAGGTCAAAGCAAATGGTACCATAGTCACACAGCTACTGGGAAAGACCCAGTTACTACTCCACGGATAGTGAACCAGTTCCAGCAAAGAGCTAGTCAAGCTTTCAGACTCCGCTCAGTCACAGAGCTGGAATGAACCTCATCATCTTCTGCCCCAGCTTCATGGACACTCAACTACGAGTCACTTTAAGCAGCCATACATTTTTTTTCCAAGACTTGAAGAAGTTATTTGAGGAACTACAATTTCCAAAATAAAAAATAAAAAAACATAGAGGTTTTTGTTCGTGGCTTGGGAGACCCTCTGCTGGAGTCCTGTCTTGAGATCCTCCTTACGACGACCCCGGGCCATGTCGGCTGCGATATTCTGCCACCGAAAGACCAAAAATATCTTATTTCCCGTAGGCTGTGAGCTTTCAAGCCTGAAGCCTGTTCAACTTTGAATTCAGTGGCTGGCATTTGGATATTGTTGCTTCGGAGTGGTCTGTGGCTTGAAAAGGATCTCGGCCGGCTGGAGAGGAAGCAAACCAAGAGCAGAAAAGACCTGGAGGAACTGTGGAGGGGGCCCCATGGGCCCAGCCTTCAGAAAAGGCTAAGAGATGGATGATAGGAGGTTGCCCTTCAGATGTTTGGATGCAGCAAAGTCATTTTCTTTTGCGCTAGAAAGCGGGACAGGAAAGAACAGGTTCTGTTTCCGAGGAAAGAGATGTGGACTAAACCTTAGGAGGACATTTCTCCCCACAGGAGCTGTTGGAAGGAATTGTTCTAGAACCAGGTGGCCTCTCCTTCGTCGGTGGTTTTAAAACAGAGGTTCGGTGTCCGTCGGCCAGAGATCCTTTAGCTGCGGATTTTCAGCATTGCAAAGTCATTGCAAAACGATACGACTTTTGGCGTTCCTCACAGCTCTGCAATGTTATAATTCCATGGAAAAATATCTGTCTCCTCTCTTCAGCGCCAGAAATGTATGCTTAGGGTGCTATGGGACAACGAATCCTAGAACCGTTGAGTCGGAAGGGCCAGCTGTAAGGCCATCGAGCCCAACCCCCTGCTCATGGCAGGGATCCCAAATCAAAGCAGATCAGACCGAGGGTGGGTCCAGTTTCCTCTTGAGTTCCTCCAGCCATTGTCGTACTGCTCTAACAGTTAGGAAGTCCCCCCCCCCGATTTTCAGCCTCAATCTAGCTTCCTGTCGCTTGAGCCCATTCTTACATGATTTTCACAGTTGGGGTGGAGGGGTGAGGCAAGGTGAGACAAGCTCAGTATTTTTTTTCCCTAGTAGCCACGACTCTGATCACGAAGGTAGGCTGGTTCACAAGCCTCAGACCGACACAGACACAGACACAGACACACGGGCTGGTTCACAAGCCTCAGACCTCCACAAACACACACACACAAACACAACACAGAACCCGCCAACTTCCCCTTTTTTTCTGGGGAAAAAAAAGCTGTTTTAAAAAATAGGGACTCGAACTCAGGACTCAAGACTCAGGATTCAGACCCAAAGACTTGCCAGCACCCCTGAGAATTGGAGTGGTCTGCTGTGGGTATGGAAAACCATCAACACGAAATCGCAATCCTAATGATGCTGCCTGTTTTTTTTGCTAAAGTCTTTATCCCAAACCCACAAGAAATGTTCAAGAGGGGCTCCGGCCGGCGCCTGCCTCCTCTTCTCCTCTCTTGTTCCCCCTTCCTTTTTCGTTGCCAGCAGGTTTCTAACTGAACGCTGCTTGGGACAGAAAAACCTGCCCAGTCGCTCGTGCCTTTGATGGCGCCACCGGAAGGAGAGAATAATAGGAATCCGTACCTCTACGGGAAGCGTTACTTGTCAGCCAGCATGCTCACAAATTCTTCATAGCTAACTTTCCCGTCTTTGTCCGTGTCCACCTGCCGGAAGAGTTCTTCCAGCCGCTCGTCCGCAAAGAAGCTCCCGAGGCTGGGAACCAGGGGCTTGAAGGAGTCCATGGCCGCCGACAGGTCCTCGGAGGTGATGGCCCCATCTCCGTCCTTATCCAGATCCGAGAAGACCTCCTTGATGCAGCGAAGTTCGGCTTCTGTGAATTTGTGAGCCATGTTGTCTTCCTAAGAGGCGCATCCACAATTCAGGAGGCCTCTCGAAACGGGAGAAAGCTGGCATCTGGCGAGGAGGCGATGAAGGGGCAAGGATCTCCCGTCCACACCCTCTTCGTGTGCCTCGGGCCTGGATGCGGATCTTACCAACCTGCCTGTTTGGAGGAACAGGCTTGGCAGTGCCCTACGAGGTGGTTTCAGGGATGTGGGAAGGAGAAGTGTGGTTCCTTCCCAGCATCTCTGCAACCTCAGGGGTGGACGGCAGGCGACAACAGCACATCTTGTCATGTTTCTCTCGCAGGCGATCCCTTTTATTGTGGCATAAAAGGATATCTAGGGTGTGATGAGTACGGTTGAGCCCTTCTGCACCATAAAAGCCCTCCTTGTTTTGAATGGCCAACGTATTCGTCCTCCGTGGACCATCTCCTATGGAAGGGCCAGACCAGATTCAGATGAAGGAGGAGTGGAAATGGGTGGAAGAAACACCAGTCATTTGAGATATACCGAGGGCACCCTCGTACGGGCAGAAAGGAGCAAGGACTTGAAACGACGCTCAGGGAAAGGGAACACGACGAAGCAGAACTGCAGTCGAATGTTAAGAAGACCCCAAATCACGACTGCAGAAGAAATGCACAACTTTAGCGTTGACCATGAAGAAAAGGGAATGGTTAGAGCTTTTGGTTCAATCCTCCATCCAAAGGGAGAGTGCAGCCAAGAAATCAGAAGAAGACGGAGACTTGGAAGGACACTAGAAAAGGCCATCAAGTGTCACTAGAGACCAAGGCCAAGAGAATCCACACTCTTGTCTTTCGGATCACCCTGTACGGGTGGGAAAGCTGGGCAGTTAAGAAAGCTGAGAAGAAGAAATTTGATCTGTTTGAAACGCGGTGCTGGAAGAGAGCTTTGAGGATCCACTGGATAGCCAAAAAGACCAAGAAGTGGGTCCTAGAGCGAATCCAGCCGGAACTCTTTCTGGAGGCAACAAGGTCAAAACTCAGTTTGTCCTACTTTGGGCACAACCTGAGAAGACAGGATTCTCTGGAAGAGACAATCATGCTAGGAAAGGTTGAAGGCCGCAGGAAAAGAGGAAGACTAAATACGAGATGGACCAACTCCCTCAAGGAAGCCACAGGCTTGAGTATACGTACAAGTGCTGAGCCGGGCTGTTGAGGACAGGACAGGTTGGAGACCGCTCACTTGTCGGGCTGCTATAACCTTGTTGGTACAGAACAACAACACGGTGGTCCTGTTGCAACCATAGGCCATGTTCTTAGCTCTCAGAAGGCATTATTTTATGGTTGGGGAAAAATGCAGGTCTTCCCCAATGAACCGGACAACCAGCGTTCCCATTCTCAGCCCTTCTTAGGGTGCATCATTTGACCGCGGGGCCTGGCGGTAGATGTTTCTCGTGGTAAATGATAGCAGAACCATCAGCCTTGGAAGCTGATGGGTTGCAGGTTTTAAAACAGACCTTGGCAGTGTTACGTCCTTGGTCTAATGCTCCTCAGTCCCTGTACCTTTGTGGCCAATCTGCCCAAGTTATTTATTATTATTATTTTTAGGAGCCGTTCTCCAAGAGAACAGGCTCTGGACGACATTCCTCAGTTTCTCCTCTTCACAGCACTCCGAGGTCTGGCAGAGTTCTGATCAGGTTATCCCGAGACACCCAGCTCTGACCATTTCACACGGCTGCTGTGATCGGCGGTGAGTCAACTTTCACCACTAAAGGCTCTACAGAATGGGTTGAAAGGGTAGGGTTGGGGGGGGAGAGAAAGAGGCAGCATGGAATTTGCAACGTTTTCCTTGGATCCACCTATTTCTTCCCAGTGGAACCCTCAAGAAGAAAAACTGCAGCTAACAAGAAAAAAAAAGCAGAGAGAGGACACCAACCAGTTTTAAAGGATGGGACATTTGCCCGTATCCATACTCAAGCCAGAGATCCCCACAGCTGACCACTACAAACTCTCGATACACATGGGAACGTATCTGTTGATCACCACTTCTTACTATCCCAGCCTGTCACACTCCTGCCTGCCTTCTTCTTCTCTTTCCAGGCTTATTATGGGCTGGAAGCACCTGGGGTGGAGAGCTCCCTTTTAGGTAAAGATTTCCTACACTGGCAGAAGTTGAGATGGGTTGATCGTTCAGATCCCTTCCAACTCAGATCTACAATCCTATGCTTTATACCATGTAGAGAGCACCGTGGACAAGAACAGAAAGTCAGAAGATCCTGTACCTCCAAGCGTATCATCTCCGGGACCACTAATTCTCCATCATCACCCTCACGAATTCTTCGTAGTTCACTCTCCCGTCTCCGTCGACATCCGCCTCCTTGATCATCTCCTCCACTTCTTCGTCCGAGAGCTTCTCGCCCAGGTTGGTCATGACATGCCGCAGCTCTGCCACACTGATATACCCGTTGCCGTCCTTGTCGAAGACGCGGAAAGCTTCCCGGATCTCCTCCTCGGTGTCGCGGGCCTTTGTCCTCTTGGCCACCACGGAGAGGAATTCGGGGAAGTCAATGGCGCCACTGTTGTTGGTGTCCACGGCGTGGATCAAGCCCTGTAGCTCAGCCTCGGTGGGGTTGTGCCCCAGGGAGCGAAGGACCGTCCCCAGTTCGGAGGTGGTGATCTTTCCGTCACCGTCTTTGTCAAAGAGGGAGAAGGCCTCTTTATACTCCGCGAGCTGCTCGTCCGTCAGCCGGTGCGCCATGCTGCCGCTGCTTTGGATCCCTCACAACACCAGACAGTTTTTATTGAGAAGAGTAAATGCTCGTTATCCCTGCCGAAACAGGAAAATCTGGCATGGGAAGAGATGATGGCCCGGCAGGTAAAGTCCACACCCTCTTTATACCTCAGGGCTACCGCTGGCAACCTTCTGGAGAAAAACCGGTGGAAGAATCTACTTTCCCTAAGCAGAGTGTGTGCTCCTATAGGGCTCCCAGAGATAAGAGGATTATTTTTTTTACATTCCTGCAACCCCCAAAGTAGTTGAAAGGTGAAGCTGTTGTGTATGCAGCTTTGTTATATTACATGACTATTATGCTCCTTCTTGTTATTAATGATTTTTTTAAAAAAATTGTCTTGTCAGGATGGCAGTATATCAAGCATGCTATTTTCCCATTTATCACACTTTTAGTCTAGATGGGCGGGGTATAAATCTAAATAAATAAATAAATATTAACTGGCTGAAATCCTGTTGCACAGCTCCGCCTACAGAATGGGGACAATGGCCGCCGCAGCAATAGATTGCATCTGGTTACAGGCTTCCTTTTGTGGTTTCATTGTAAACATAAATCAAACTTGGGGGGTGGGGAGTACAATAACACAGGGAGAAACAGGAAAAGAGGAAGACCACACACAAGATGGCTTGACTCCCTAATGGAAGCCACAGGCTTGAGACAAGATGGCTTGACTCCCTAATGGAAGCTACAGGCTTGAGTCTACAAGAACTGAGCAAGGTGGCTGAAGACAGGCCATTTTGGAGAGTGCTCATTCATAGAGCCTGAAGACAGGCCATTTTGAAGAAGGCTCATTCATAGGACTGCCATAAGTCAGAGGTGACTTGACAACACATAACAATAACAACAGCTCATACACAACAGGATGAAGTTGGGTGCACTTCAAAATCACAATAAGCAAGGTTTAATCAGTGGCGGTCTCCCTTGCCAGTTGTGTTGTTGTAATTATGTAGGCAGACACCACCCAACAGGATTTGGGCCAATGGGTTTTTGTGTGTGTGTTTCTTAGTTATACAGTATGTGCCCTTAAATCACTTGTTAATAATGACCACTTCCACATTGCCCCCCCAAAAAGGAGAAAATAAAACACCGGGTGTGACAAACCCATGCGTTGAATTTGTCTGTATGCCTGTAGAATTTGACATAGTTATAATTAAAATAGAAATGTAATAGATGCCCCTACCATGGAGGAAAAAATGACAGGTGACTTTGTCAACAACAGAGTCTGTCATCCAGGTATCAGAGGCTGAAGGATGAAACCCCACCCACCTACCCTTTTTTTAAATGCTTGAAAAATAGACTTTTCTGGACCACGTCCCAGCGGTCATGCTGGTTTGGGGAATCTGAGAACTGCAGTCCAAAAAAATGTAACTTTTCTAAGCGTGCTCTAAGCTAGGCTTTCAAAAAGAGAGCGGCCCTCGGACAGGATTTCAGAGGGAGGCCTGTGATGGGAGATCCACGGGCACCCTCGCTGGACTCGAAACAATGTCCTCAAGCATTCTGCTAGCTGAAATGGCCACCATGGTCTTCGTTTTCCCAGAATGCCTCTGTGTCCAGGGGTCTTCTGGGAAAACCAAGATGGCAGTCCGTTGCAGCAACTCGGCCTGACATGAAGTGTCTAGATTTCAGCATTTCAAATACATCTGAGGAAGGAATAAAGGTTTTATTTAGTCCCCAAGACAATCGGCCAAGTTTGGCTAAGGGGATTTTGGGGTTTGTAGTCCAAAGAAGTAACATTTCCATAGCTCTGGGCTATGCAACTTTTTAAACGTACAAAGTATCTTATCTCTATTGGATTCCACTTCAATTTCTGTTTCATTGGGTCTTTTTAAGGAGAAAGACGGGGTGAAGATATTTTAAATAAATAAATAACAAATAACTCTTATACAATGGCTCCTTTTTTCTTTAACTACAACATAAACATAAAATACATAAACCAAAATACAAATCAACTGTTTTATACAAGGTCTTCTGTCCTGTGACATCATAAGGGCCCACTTCCTTGTGACATCATAAGGGCCCACTTCCTTGTGACACCATAAGGGCCCACTTCGTATGACATCATAAGGTGCCCTGGATTCCTTAGGCAATGAGAACCTGCCGATCCTTTGGGAAGGCCATCGCGCCAGGAGGATTCTGGGTATTCTTCCCCAAAGCAAAGCCAAGGCTGCGGCTTAGATAACTACCCCATAGTGCTGAAAGTGTTATCTGTGCAAGCAACAACTTGCTCACACCCCTAGCAAGCTGGGTGCTCAGTTTACCTAACCTTGGATGGATGAAATGATTAGTCAACCCTGAGCTGGTTACCTGGGCCCATCAGAATCGAACTCAGGTCGTGAGCAGAGTCTTAACTGCAATACTGCAGTTCAACCGTGGCGCCAAAAGGCTTCTAACTCACTTTCGCAAGCTCCGAAATCTGCCACTGTTACGTTACGTGGCTTGGAATATTCTTTTCTTTCACGTATATATGAAGCTAAACAGGGGAAGGAAACAGAGCCTTTTACAGCTTTTTAGTGGGACTCTGGCAGGGTGGAAAAGGTGTGTTCGGGGCGTCACCTATCTGCGGTGAATGTGTGATTTGCCTCTGCAATAAAACACACAAGCGTGTTCTTGGCGCACAGCGGACAGGGTGGCAAAGTTCAAGATGCCGCCTCTGCATTAACTGGGGCCCTCTCATGCGCCTAAGGCAGTCGCTGCTTTATGGAACGTGGTTAGAAAACGAACGCACAACCGGCACTTGTGAGCACCACGTTCCGTGTAAAAGCAGACATCACCTTTGCTCCAGATACCACAGAAGAGCAAATAAAAGAAGTGAAAGCTGGGGAATGAGCCCGGCCCCAACTTCCGGGGAAAAGACGGCTGGGCTTCTTTCTTTAAGCACCGGTTCTTCCGAGAAACCCTTAAAGGTTAGACTGTAACTCCCAGAATACTTCCGTCGGCATGGTGGTGGAGATGAGGCAGGGAACACATTTTTTTTCACAGACGACCAGCTGTGGAAACAGTCACGGGGGAAATCTAGATCAATGGGCCAGAATCTGTGTAACCTGATGCAGTGTTCAGAAGAAGCGGGAGGCAATGTATGTGTTGAGGGTCATCGAATCATTGAATAACAGAATTGGAAGGGGCTCCTAAGGCCATCCAGTGTGGTGGAGATGAGGCAGGGAACACATTTTTTTTCACAGACGACCAGCTGTGGAAACAGTCACGGGGGAAATCTAGATCAATGGGCCAGAATCTGTGTAACCTGATGCAGTGTTCAGAAGAAGCGGGAGGCAATGTATGTGTTGAGGGTCATCGAATCATTGAATAACAGAATTGGAAGGGGCTCCTAAGGCCATCCAGTCCAACCCCCTGGTGTTCAGAAGAAGCAGGAGGCAATGTATGTGTGGTCATCAAATCATTGAATAATAGAATTGGAAGGGGATCTTAAGGCCATCCAGTCCAACCCCCCGCTCCAGGCAGGAATCGAAATCAAAGCAGATCTGACCGATGGCTGTCTCTCCAACGTTAGAGAGCTCACCACCTCTTGAGAGCTATCGTCGTACTGCTCTAACAGTTAGGAAGTTTTTCTTGATCTTCAGCCTAAATCTGGCTTCCTGTCGCTTGAGCCCGTTATTACGTGCCTTGCACTCTGGGATGATTGAGAACAGATCCTGCCCCTCCTCTGGATGACGACCTTCCAGGTATTCGAAAAGTGCTATCCTAGTGCCAGGTTCACACTCTTGCAGCAGCAAACATCAAGAGGAAAGTCTGCTCCCTTCTAAACCTCAGTGCCATAAGGCCAAAGTCTCGCGGACCCCTCTGAAAGTATGGTTCTGCTCTGTGCTGGCTGGGGAGGGGGTGCCGTTCCAAAACATCTGGAGGCCAGATGCTGTTTATCTCTGCCTTGGAGAGAGGTAGGAACTACTGTATATTTAGTGGCATGCACTAGTTATTGACTGCTCCTAAGACACGTACACCAGGCGGGCACACCCTTTTCTCTCTGCTGGCCTGTTTGGCTACAGAATTCAACGAGGGTGGCAGCAATTCGTAATTACGCAAGGCGGTCTTTCAGAAAGGCAAGGCTAATCAGCCGCCTCCTTGGCTGCCTCCTCTTTCTTCTGACGGATCTCGTTTGTTTGGAATGGTTATGAAACAGCATCTTGGCTGCTGCCCAAGGAAGGAGGAGAAAGCGGGCGAGGCGGTGATAAGGAAGAACCTGGTGTACCACCACCAAATGTCAACAGATAACCCTGTGGTTCGGAGGAAAAACGCTCGATAGCAAAGAAAGAAAATGGGTTTCTTGCAGCAAACTCGCAGACGAAAGAGCCGGGAAAACCAAAGCGAGGTGTAACAGGACTAGAAACTTTGCATTTTTATCCTTCGCCCACTATACAGAAAGGAGGCCCTTCGTGGAATCACAGCTGAGAACTTTGACTCCTCTCCTCCACCGGAGGGTCCCAACCTTGGGTCCCCAGACGTTCTTGGACCGCAACTCCCAGAAATCCTGGCCAGTACAGCTAGGGGTGAAGGCTTCTGGGAGTTGTAGTCCAAGAACACCTGGGCACTCAAGGTTGGGAACCATTGATCTAGTCCAACCCTCTGCCAATGCAGGAAACTCAGCACTGCTAAAGCATCCCTGAGGGATGGAGACTGAACCACCCAGCAGATCGACCAAAGCTTGGACAACATGCTACCTTTTGCATCACGGCGTTTGGTCCTTTGGCGCCTGTGATGGAAAAGGCCGAAGAAGCATCCAGGGTGGGCTGAATCTCAGAATTTGAGTTGAGTTTTCTAATGTCTTCAGCTTGGACTGTGTTCTCACCAGTTGGCAAAGGCAGAGAATTTGTCAGAAGGAAATCCACGTGAAGATTCCAGAGGTTGGAAATGTCCATGTGGTGGACTGTAATTCCCAGAATGCATGGCTGCATACAAACTGGGGTTTTGGGGGAGGTGTCAAAAAAAGAGAGGCTTTTCTCAAACTTTGAAAAGTCATGTTCATTTTTGTCCACAGTTTTGTGTGTGTTTGCAAATGGGTGTGTTTTTTGTATGCTGCTTCCATGTGTAGATCCATAGAATAACTGAGTTGAAAGGGGCCTATAAGGCCATCAAGTCCAACCCTCTGCTCCAGGCAGGAATCCCAATAAAAGCAAATCTGACAGACACGTTCATTTCCGTCCACAGTTTTGTGTGTGTTTGCAAACGGGTGTGTTTTTTGTATGCTGCTTCCCCCATGTGTAGATCCATAGAATAACTGAGTTGGAAGGGGCCTATAAGACGATCAAGTGCAACCCTCTATTCCAGGCAGGAATCCCAATAAAAGCAAATCTGACAGATGATTGTCCAATTTTCTCTTCAATGCCTCCAGGGTTGAAGCCCTCACTACCTCCCAGGCTCAGGGCTTCCATTTCTGTACTCCTCTAACAGTTAAGTCTTCCTAATACAGTGGTGCCTCGCATTACGACATTAATTCGTTCCAGCGAAATCGCTGTAGAACGAAAATGTCGTAATGAGAAAATAAAAAGCCCATTGAAACGCACTGAAACCCCTTCAATGCGTTCCAATGGGCTGGAAACTCACCGTCCAGCGAAGATCCTCCATACGGCAGCCATTTTCAATGCCTGTGCAGCGAGGAATCCGTCCCAGAAAACAGCGGAGAGCCATTTTATTTACCCTGTGGCCATTTTGAAACTGCTGATCAGCTGTCCGAAAATTGTTGTTTTGCGAAGAACCAGTTCCTGAAGCAGGGAACCGATCATCGCAAAGCGAAAAACCCCTATTCAGACCATCATTTTGTGATCACAATTGCGATTGCAAAAAGATCGTCGTAATGCAGTTTCGTCATAATGCGGGGCAATCGTAAAGCAGGGCACGACTGGTATTCAGCTGAAATCTGGCTTCCTGTCACTTGAGTCCATGCCATCCACACTGATCAAAATCTTTTGCAGGTTGTTGCATAGGTTAATTGCTTTAGACATCATTAACAGACTTGGGGTTGACAGGAATCAAACTTATGTAGCAAGAAGTATTTTAAAAGAAGCTGTTTCTAGCATCATATAGCCACTCTCAACCTTTTTTAACTCTTTTTTTGACCACAGCCATAAATACAACATGAAAGAAATATAGGTTGAATCAGGACTGAGTCACATAATGAATCTTATAAACTGGTGTATGAATAATTCTTTCCAGGCTGTGCACCAGACCCATATGGCCTGCATTGAAATGGACTTATGTAGCATTATAAAAGAATTTAGAAGTCATCCATTTCTGACCTAACATTCCTCGGAACAATTCTGTAAAGCAGGCCAACCCTCGTTTCTGTAAAGAAGAGAGATTATATCGATTATTTCACGTTAGCTGTAGAAGTCTAAAGAAAGATTTGACCGAGGCACTCCCTAATTCATCTTCTCAAGCAGTTGAAGGTCTGCACAGGTGAAGAAAACTCAGCAAATCTTTTCCCCACCTCTATATTTTGCAGTTAGCATGCTTTGTTTTCACATGGGTCACTGGAAATAAACAGAGCCTTTCCTTGAAAGTCTGGTGATTAAAGTTAGCATCTTTGCGAAAATCCGAGCCGTGAAGGAAAAAGGTGTAAAGCTTAACTGTGGGTGGAGCAGAATGGATTTAGTCAATAATTACGCCCAGTCACAGGCCAGGGGCTGAAATTAGCCATGTAATAATGATTCATTGTATAGATTCCTGTTGCCCAGAACATCACATCCACAAGGTTGCAGCATGGGTAATTAACTAATTGTTCTGGCTTCCTGTCGCTTCAGCCCCTTATTACATATCCTGCACTCTGAGACGATCAAGAACAGATCCTACCGCTCATCTTTGAAGGGTGCTATCCTGTCTCCCCTCCGTCTTCTTTTCTCAAGGCTAAACCTGCCCAGTTCTTTCAGTCTTTCCTCCCAGGGTTTTTATTTCCAGTCCTCTGATCATCTTTCTGACCCTCCTCTGAACTTGTTCCTTGTTTGTTGGCATCCTTCTTAAAGTGTGGTGTCTAGAACTGGAATTAGTACTCTAGTTAAGGCCTAAGCAGTGCTGGATAGAGGGGGATTAGTATCTCAGGGGATGTGGAGAGCATGTCTGTTAATGCAGCCTAAAAATCACATTGGCCTTTTTTGCAGTGGCATCACACTGTTGGCTCATATTCAGTTTGTGATTTACAACAACTCCAAGATCCTTCTCACTCGTACTATTACTGAGCCCATCCGTATCTGTGTATTTGGATCCCCGTGCACCCCCAGGTGTAGAACTTTGGACACGTCCGTGTTTTGAGCCCAGTGCTCGAACCTATAATGGGAGATTCAGTCCCGGAACAGATGGACAGGCTATATTTTCTGCATCCCACTGATACTAGAGAGGTCCTGATCTGAACTATTGAGGGTTCAAAAGGAGACAAGTGTATTTTGCCAGCAAAGCAAAATTCTCTGTTCCCAAATCTTGGCTGGTGCTGATTTGTTTAATCGTGGAAGCATTAAGAACTCATATTAATTAATACTTTTATTCTTCTCTGGACACATCCATTTTTCATGCAGCCCATGGAAATGTTTAAGGTGGCTGTGCCTTTTTTAGCAGGGAGACACCAGACTGGAAACAAAGTCTAACAGAGAAAAAGAAGGTTGACACTGTTTAATCATTTGGGAGTTGAAAACGTTGGTCAGGGCTTTAACATTCAGACCAAGTTATGTTTTGCTTTGCAAGATCAAGTAAAAACTGAAGAGCGTTGACGTCACGGGTCGAAGCTGGTGGGGCTCGTAGTCGTTTCTGTCTGCCGTGCAGCCCACCATCTGAAATGGATTAGGGTTCCATTGTTCCCTTTTGTTTCATTTTCTTGGCGAACATGTCTGCGCCAGATGTGTTCCATGAACATGTCACGCACAGCGAGACACAAAACCCAGACATTGTTTTGAACAGAACATGCCGACCACAGTTTGGGCAGAAGGAATTTATAACACGAGGTCTTCGTCAGAGAGAAGTCGTGGGGGTTGGGAGAGCCTCCGGCGTGTGGGTCTTAACCTGATGCAATCATCCAAACAGGAGCGGGTGTGCAGATTACTGGTCCCCCCCACCCGGCATTGAGCAGGGGCCCGGACTTGATGGCCTTATAGGCCCCTTTTAGCTCAATGATTCTAGGATTCTGTGATTCCCGCATCCCACTGATTTTTACCCCACCTAAAAAGCAAGTGTGATACACACAGTCAACGGGTCACAACCTGGAGGTCAGGTTGAAAGAAAAAGTCATTGTTGCCTCCCTAAGGTTGGCTGATGTAAGACCCGGGGTGAATTATTTGCAGTTAGAGGAGCTGAAAGAAAATGGCATTCCGTGGGGGTCTCTGTTCTGCTTATATATGTTACGTCTCCCACATCTGGTGTCGTCCAGTTGTGTCGGTCTTGAGTGTCCATGATTCCCCAGCCAGCAGAATAATGCTAATGTTTTCTATGTTCTGAGAAAAAGGCATGAAAACTCATTTGGGAAAAATGGGGGTCTAGGGGTCTCAAACTGTGTGTGATTCCAGCTGTTTTTAACCTCACCACTGTTGCTGGCTGAACATCAAGGGAGTTGCGTAATTGACGGCAGACGCTGTGATGGGGAGTTTGCCTCGCCTTGTCGGAGAAGAGCAAGCTTTGTGATGGGGAGTTTGATCCCTTGCCTCGCCTTGTCGGAGAAGAGCAAGCTGCACAGTAACCTCAAGAGGACCAACCAGGAAATGACTTCTTTCTGAGTCCAAAGGGTCACCTTAAGCCAGAATCAACGTAATGGGTGGATGGGACATGATGATTGCATTAGCAGGACTGTTAATACAGTCCCATCTATAGAACGCATGCCTTGAATGTCATTCAGGGAGAACATTCAGCACATTATGGAGTTAAAAGACTAGATGAGGCGATTGTACATCTCTGGGAAGTCTTGGATGAAGGCAAGCCACCAGTAGCGATCACTGGCCCTCGGAAGGCCAAAAGGCTTGGCCAGCCACCACTGAAGACTGCTGGCCGAGTCTCTTGCATAGGAATCACAAGACGAATCCTTTCTCTGCTGTTCCAGCCCCGAAACTCCAACAGAGTTCTAGCAAAGAGAAATTCATTCTCTTTCACATTCGTTCCAAAATAAACCAGGGTCAACAGAAACAGCCCGGGGGTGAACCCGCCAAGTCATTCAAATCAATGGGTGGGATAGGATATTCCAGCAGGTGCTCACAGAAAACAAGATAAGAGATCTGGTCTTTGGATCTGTGTCCAAAGCTTTTTTTATCATTATTTTAAATAAACTTTGGGGTTTTTGAGCTGATCTATAGCTTGGCAGTCTCCACCCCTCACCTACCCCCAGCCTTGCACAATTAAAGCAGCCATACAAAGAAAGATGCAATTAAGAGTTTTAATTATGCTCCATTCTTGACAATGTACAAAGAAACAATTTTACAGAGAACCACAGTGCTTTGGTTGTTGTCTATTTACATTTGCTTACAGAAATTTCCTTCCCGTCGTTTTGTTTCTGGCCAGATGCTCTTCTGCACCAGAACCCGTCTTGTCTACGCTCGCTTGCACTCCCCTCCTTTCTCTTGGGCCACATTGGGGGGGGGGAGCTTTAAGGTGTGTAACCAGGATGGATGGATGACCCACCACTCCTTTGCTGGACACTTAGCTGCCCTCCCCTCCTGGAGACCTGGCCCTCCAGAACCTCCACCAGAATGCAAGTTGTCAGACTTCATCCATGTCCTTTGGACTTCCCACTACCATGCCCCGCTCCAACGCCACCACCTCCCAAACCCTTCTTCAGACATACAGGTGCCTTCCTTGGCTTCCGAGAACCAACCTCTTCGGACGCCCTTCAAAATACCACCTCGTCCCTCCACGATCTTTGTTATCGTGGTTTTTTCCCCTTTGCCTACACCTTCTGTGACCTCTTCTCCGCCTTGTGTATCCACTGCCATCCCCTTTCAGTAGTTCAGAGCACACAAGCGGCTCTACAAGTCTGCTGTGGTCAACCCCAAATGCTACATCAAAATGAACTTTAATCTTAATTCTCCCCTTCCCCACAATTGCCATTTTTCCTGATCACTGGAGATCTTGCTGTGCCTTTTCGAGGAGTGGAGACCGTTTGACCATTCAACGCCTCCTTGCTTGAAGTAGAGCCCTTGAAAAGGCACAGAAACCCCGGATCAGGTCAAGAGGGGAACTCTTTATCATCTCTTAATGCCAATGGCTAAAGAACTTATGGCTTTGTTTCACCTGGTAAAGCCCTGAACTGGCTTTTAAATAGACATAACATAACACACACATCACATAATCAGAAAATGAAAGAAGCCAATTCAAAAGTAAAAAAAAAAACCTCACACTCAAAATGAAGTACAAAAGGAGTTCTCTACAAACTTAATGCAATTTTTTAAAAAAAGATTAAATACTTGGCAGGTCACATCAATTCACAGGAGGAATGTACAACAAACAAACACAAAAATAAAACAAAATTCCAGTCAATAAGAAGGAAACCTGTTGAATTCGGGGAGTCTTGCTTTTTCAAGAGATATAGCCTCTAGGTCATTTCCCTCTATGCTTAATGCCAGAGTAATGATGTTGGTTTTTAAGTAATTCTCCAGATTAAGCACCCTGAGGTTGGTGTGTAAATCAGAATTGCACTGCCAGCTATAGAATATTCACTTTTAGATAATCAATACATAATATTTATCTGGTGAGAAGAATAAGTTCATAAGATGGTGCAATTCTACTTCTTTCTTCGCAAACTGGGCTTCAAAAAAATGGCATTTTCTCACCGATAGGACTATACAAGTTCCAAAAATTTCGGAGTGTCATGCCCAGAACTCAGAAACAAGGTCTGTAATTGTTTTTAGATTAGACCCCAATTCAACAGCGGTTTTGCTGCAAACCAGTAGCTGCCATAAACATAAAAAAAGGACACACAGACATTTCGGAAGGGATGACCCCTCACACCATTCTCACATGACAGAGAAAGAAAATGTACACGTTTTATTTATAAATAAACAGTGGAGAAAGTTGTCCCCCGGCCTCCTTCAGACAAGGGTCTCTTTCCGCTTGCCACTCAGCTGGGCTTTCTCCCGCGTCCTCCTGAGTCCAGCGTGCATCCTGTACGGCTTTGGGCCTTGGGCCTCCCCATTCGTGTCCATCCCGGGGCTGGCCTCGGGAGTGTTCTCGTCTAGCTCCATGTGAACACTGCCGGAGAGGGTGGACGGCGTCCTCTGGACCTTGGCGCTGGCCACTGAGGGGTGGTTCTCTTCCCCTTCCTCGCTGAGTTCGGGCAGCTCTTTCAGCTCAGGCGGCACGACCGTCGGCTGATAGGGGGCCACAGCGGAGCGGATGCAGTTGAACCACTGCTGCTTGTGGAAGACGTCGTTGGCCTGTAGGGTGTGGGACTGGCCGGGGGCCGGGTCTCTGAAACGTACTCGGAAGATGTTCTTTGCTAGAAAAAGGAGACAGAAGGGGAGAAACGGTCAGGCTTGCTTCGCAGAACTCCCAACGCCAACGGTCATGTGTGGTTTCACACCAGTCAGTAGTTTCTTATAAATGTATTATAGACAAGTGGCTCCTCTAGGCCATAAATCTTCCTGAGCTCCAGGTCTAGAAACTATGGTTTTTTTGGAGCACCAACCCCGGTAAACGTGGCCCATCCATGTTCATGCTGGTTGTGATATTCTGGGAGCTGGAGGAACTAAACAAATTAGAAGTTTTCCAAAAATTTGAGCTGTTCTGGAAAGCCACCCTCTTCACTCACTTAGGTTCTGGAGTTGGCCTGCCTATGCAGGTGGCGAGAAACAATAAAAACTAACTGTTGACTCTTGAGCACAGGGGTCATCAAGGGGCAAAACCTAAAACTACTTTTAAAGAGCTTCCGAATCAACCTGGTGATCCGACTGTGCTAGAACCAGCATTTATTTCAGGAGTCACTAACCTATTAGTAAAAAGTTCTGTTTTGTCAAGCTTGGCAAGCCACCATCTGGGGTCCTCATGAGAGATGCCCCAAATCCCACCGAGTTACTGACAATCCAGGGAAAGAGTCATCGACATTCGCATCCCCAGTCAGCAAGAACGGTGGCGAGCACATTCTTCGTAGGACGCAGCTGGTCCGCTCAAGTCAAAAAGCATCCGACTCATTTTCCTACCTTTGTCAGAATTGCCGAACGCCCCTCGAAAGGATCCTCCCATTTTCACGTCCCCGTCTTGCAAGTCCTCCAGCACCAGGTCCTGAACTGGGATGGGCTGGCGATAGACCTGGTAAGAATGGCGCTCGTTGCGCGTCACTGGCCGAGTCAGAACCAAGATCTCTTGGAAAAGGAAGACATAGAGTTTCTGGAGGGGGAGGGAGAGAGAAAGCACTTTGGGTTAAAAAAAAAACCCACACACCTTCCTCAGCATTTTTTTTTACCAAAAAGGGAACACTTGAGGCAGAATTTCTTCACATGTTTTAAGATGGGCTTTTATTAACCCAAAATAAGAATTCGGAACGGTGCTCCTCCTCCCAAACATTACCATCAGCATGAGTGAAGAAGGTGAATCATTATTTGGTAGTAAAGAATCTGTTTTGGACACTGGCCTGGCTCAGGATGATGCCATTTTGTGCAACACAATCCCTGCCCTCTGACCAGTTCTATATCCACACATTATAGCCATTTCTAGCTCGCCCAGGACAAGAGAACCAGCTCCACTCCCTCCCCTGAAGGCCCCACTCTTGCAAGAGTCCTCCTGCTCCCAGATCTGCCACCTGCGGAACAACTTGCACCAACTCTGCCTGGCCTCTTTGGGTGTGGCCAATTTTTAAGCACTGGCCCTTATACCAATCCATCATCCCCATAACTGGGTGTGTTGTCTCATATCATCCGTTCTTTATTTTAAACTTTTGTGTATTTTAATTATTGCGGGATGCCTTGAATCTCTCTGAGGGAAAGGCTTCTAAGATAATTTTACACAGTGTTGTGTTCTGGTGCCTTAGAGCTCCAGGACAAAATGGTAGCGAAAGGGTGGGGGGAAGAAAGAGGAATTCTACATCTGACACAGGAAGACACCATTCTCATGTCACAAAAGGAGAAACAGGAAGGGAGGTGGCACTGAGGTGGGAAGAACTTGGCTGTGGAGGCAGGCGTTGGGAGTTCAGTTCCTCACTGTGCCTCGTAAGTTCCCGTCTGCCTTGGCAGTCCCAGGAGGGACCCAAAAGAAGGGGATGATAAACCACTTCCTAGGTACTCTTTTACCTAGGAAATGCTAGGGGCGCTGTAAATCAGAACTGATTCGATGGCACAGAATTATTAAAGAACAGGATCCACCGAAAATAGGGCATGGGGGAGACGTCTGTGCATATTGCAGCCTTTGATCTGAAGTCATCCTGTTTTTCTTCCAATTTCCTTCACGATACCCGGCTCCCAGATCATGGCAGGGACATTGCAGGGGCTTCTGACTCTCTTGTGATAAATACTTACATGCCCATTCTTGTTCTTGAGCTCCCCGTGGCAAAGCAGGACTTTGCTGGCCTCAATCCGAGGATCCCTCTGTTTTTCATCAAGGTACTCGAGCTTATCAATATAGTACTGACATTCGGACTCCCCTTTCTTCAAGTTGATGTCTGAGAGGACCCCTTGAATGATGGAGATCTGCAAGCAACAGGACCTCGTGAATAAGGCTTTGGACAAAGGAAGTCACAGGGCAAGCTCAGACTTTAACGCAGGAGAATCATCTGCTAGGAAGCACAGACGACAGCAAGGGGCCAACCGATCATCACAGGAAGAAATTCATTCTTGCGGTTTAACCTAACCAGCCACCGACAAGACAGGCTGGTGCTCGGAGACAAGTTTGGGCTGGCACACCACGCTTTGCCTCTTAACATGGAACCGGGCACTTCAGCTTGTCGCTTACTTCTACTGCATGCCCGGTGCCAGTCAGTCAACCATCTTGCCCTCTAACACATTAGCCATTTTATAAAGCCCTGGGGGGTGAGGGGAGGAAATCTCCAATGAATTTGATCCACAACCAAAGGAGTGCAAAAGATGTTCTCCCCGTGACTCAACAAGGGGTAACTACATCTGCTACCAAAATGGGGCAGAGGGCTCCTGGAAAGAGGGAAACATAAAAAGAAGGAGTTTCTTTTTGAGCTAAAACTCTCAAGAACTCCCAGTCCCGATGGCCAGGGGCTACGCTGGTTAGGGAACTCTGGCAGTTCCACAAAAAAGGAGCTTCTTACAACTTAACAACCTGCAACTGCATTTGTTACCGATTTCTAGAGGAGGTGGGGAAGTGTTTGGAACCATCAGTCACTGTGGACTGCGGGCTCTACAGGAATTTCACGGGAACATCGGATGCTCAGTTTGGGTGAAATGCAGCCACTTACCGCTTCCTCCAGAATCTGGACATCCGGGTGATCGTTGGGGGTGTGCCTGAGGATTTCCTTCAAGAGCAGAGGGTACTTGACCAGACGGCTCCGGGGGATATCCAGAAAGCTCCAGAGGTCCAGCTTGCGGCTGAAAGGGGATTCCAGACAGCGCTGCAGGAAGTCCTGGACTCTGCGGTCCTGCTTCTTTTGGTCGAGAAGGGCTTTCGCCGCCAGCTGGTTGCTGCAGTAAGCCTTGTAGGCATGAAGTCCCGGCAGCTAGAGAGACAATGAGGCAGCGTTTAGCTGCTGATGCTGCTGCTCCAAAGATGCTGACTCTCTCGGATGAGCCAGGCTATTTCCTCTTTCTATAAATGGACGCTTTACAGTATGACACACGAATCTTGGGAATTGCAAGCATGTCACTCTCCCTTTGATTAAAACAGCCGAGTCAGAGAGGAAGGCAGGCAGGCAGGCAGGCAAGGGGGGCACATTCCTTGCCCAGGACCGCTAAAACTCACAGCTGACTCTGGCTGAAGACAGGCCAGCTCAGCCTCTTGCATCTGAAGAACTGCAAGCGCGCCACACAAATCTCCACCATCTTGAGATGGCTTGTAACATTCACTCGCTACCCATTTTTTCGTGTTTTGTATGCAATTCCTTTTCCACAACCATCTGTACACAGAGATAGTCACCTACCCACCTTTTTAATCAATGTTTTACTTTTTCTCAAGTGTCACCAAATTATTTCATAGACACCATCTCAGTCATCTTCACTGAGATTATTTGGCATACTCAAAGTATAGACAGGTGACTAAGGATGAGAGGCAGTCATTAATATAATACGCAGCACTCAGAATCAGCAGTGACAGGTAGAAAGCCGCTCAGAGTGGTCTACTCGACCAGATGGGCGGGATATAAAATCAATCAAACAAACAAACAAACAAACAAGAAAACCAGTATCTAATTTACACTGGAGAGGTTGCTTTAAAAAAAGAAAGACTAAGCTCTTTGGGCCAGAAAAGACCATTTACACAAAGAAACCTAGCACAACGTCTATCAGATGGATCTCCTGCTCTTACAAGCTCTCTGCCCAATGTGTGTGTGTGTGTGTGTCTTTGACTAATACATCCCACCACAAACTGGAAGGACAGCAAGCTAGGAGTGACTTACCCATTTGACAAGAATGGTTCCAATTTGCTCCACTGTCCCATCTGGCCGTTTTGCTTCTCTCAGTCTTGCCAGGAAGTCTGTAACAGACACATAAAACAGGAATCGGCACCTGGACGCAATACCCAAGACATGCACTGAGAAATTTACTTTACACAGGACAGGCAAATCTCATTTAGAAGTCTGGAGATGACCCTTAGGAACTTCCACAAAGGAGGTGGGAGACTGTTAGGACTCAGGACCAAGCAATTATGGAAAAGAAGAATATTTATGTGGCTGTTTTTCTATAGATCTGGCATTGTTTTCAGAGGAATGCACATTCTGCCAATCAGTGTGTTTTGACTTGCAGGAAAACAAATATGTTCAACTCAAGACATTGCTGGGGTGTGTGTGGATGGATGAGGAACAGCTTACCTTCATGCAAAGGAATATAAGAATCCAAGTCACCAAAGATGTGAGCCAGCTCTTCTTCAGACATAATTGACAGCTTCAGCATGGGGTCATGGTAAGCCTATTCAAAGAGAAATATATGGCAATGGTCAAAAGGCAGGCCCAACATGACACAGCAGCACGGTCTCATGGTGCTAGGGAAGGCAATGATGGAACCAGAGTCTGGTGGCAGAAAACAAGACTTAGGCATGCTGAAAAACTCAAGTTCAGGCCCTGGACAGATCTGGGCAGAGCTACCACCTAAAACGTTAGGAGAACGACTGCCATGGATGGACTCGTCCTAGGGCAGCTTTCTCTGCAAATCTGCCCAACACAGTTGCAGTCTCAACACCTTAAGGAAGCAGCAGGCAAATATTCCCATAGGGTTTATGGTTTGCTGTGTGGGATCGCAGCCCTGGATAAAGGTAAGCAGGCTGCTTTTGTTGTTACGTGCTGACACTCTAACTGGAGCTTCCGAGGTCCTGCCCCAGGAACAGAGGGGCAGGGCTGTTGCTTGGCCTTCCAGATCCAACATACAAACGTCAAGGCGACAGATCTGGACTTGTTTTCTCCTCTCCCTCGCCCATCAAGATTAACTAAGGCTGTACCAGAGTCTGCTTCTTCTTAGAATGCCTGGCACTCCCTCCAGTACAACAACTGCAGCACAGCTTGGGGAGTGCACTGAACCGTCATGAAACAGGCCGGAACTCCCGAGGGAAGTTGCTTTGAGGCCCTACATGGGCCCACAAAGAACTAAGGAGGCACTAACTGAGTAGGGAACAGAGACCAACCTTTCTTGCAAGCTTCAGGTCCTCAATCAAATCCTTCTCACCCTGGAACATCTCGTGTATTGCCTGGAAAAAAGCCAAGGAGGAAAAGATCAGCACTGCCTCCCTATGACTCCTGCAGAAGGTCTCACGGTAGTGAAGGGGCCCCAAGCGGTACTACGTCTAGCTCCGGGTGGCTCAAAAGGCTAGTCCACTATTCTCGTGATGCTTAAGTGGAAGATGGCCAATAAAGGTGGCCTCCTCAGGATCACCAATTTGTTTCAGATCAAGAAGCCAGTCCTTGTGGAGGGCCAAGAAATGGAACTAATCTGTGGAGTTACAAACTGGGTTTGGTGGTCACGTAAAAGGGAGAGACTTGAGTCACTGTTGAGAAAAGTAAACTCTTTGTCACGAAAGGAGGCTTTGAAGCCGGGACACGAAGCCAAAGCAAATACTGAGGCCGTTCTCTTGGAATGTGTGTTCTTCTCCGGCATAAAATGCTGAACTCACTCACGGCTGAACTTTGTTCCTCTTTTATATCATCTGCCAGTTGAGCCACCAGCATTAGCACATATCTTTTGTTTGGGACCTGTGCAAGTCACAGATTACAGCTGGTGTATTTACAGTTCTTATGTTTGGTTCAAGTATACTGCCCCTCCTGCTGAAACCTTGGGACAAGGAGAAAAGTTCAGACCTGGCAAAATGTCAGCAGGGCAGAAACCTGCCCTCGTGGAAAGGAGCCAACCTGCCAATATTCTCCCTTCACGACCAACCTGCTTTTCTGAGCTGTACTGTGGAAATCATAGCTCTGCATTCAGAGCAGGCACAATGCTGCCGGTTTTCTGTCTCCACAGACTGCTCAATTGGCATGATTTACTAGGCTGAGGACCACTGTCTCTCAAGGATATGGAAATCGAGACATCGGCCTGGCAGGCAGAGAGACTGCCTCTGTGTGGGATTGGGAACATGACTGGATGGAGGAAGACCCACCCGTGCAGGTGACTCGACTGACTCATCCTGGAGACTGGATCTCACCCTAAGCGCCTCCTCCATCGCTTCACAGCACTTTTACAATCATGAGGGCTGGAACCATAATATCTTTTTCTCTCAGGAACAAGCCAAGATGCTCAGAAATCCTCATTCAGGCCTGAGTGCAGACTCCCCTGCCTTGTCAGCCAAATAACCGTCCTGGGCTTGCAGTTGCTGGAGTGGCCAGCCTACCTCTTGGCGCTTGATCTCTTTCGTGCTCAGGGTCTCTTTCATGTTGACATCCAGCGTCTCAGACCAAAGGACGCTGTTCCTTCTTTTTGGAGGGGTTGGGGCAGCTGACCGGCTGCACAACTTCTGGGCACTCCCGGGCGATTTGCTGTCACCACGAAGGGAAAATGACTGTTGGAAACAAGGGCAGAAAACATCAATCGGTCAGTGGCCTCGAGCAAGAGCAGTTTCAAAGTCCTCTCACAGAGTAGGGCATGGGAAAAGGGCTGCCGTGCATTTCACCTTAACCAACAGAACAGCATGGCAAGACCGTACCCAGACACATACACACTTGACCCTTAATCCCTTCAGCTGCCGTGATATGTTGGGGGCAAATTTCTAACCTACAAATGCGCCCCCCCCCCAATTTCCTTTAAACCCTCCCTTTTTCAGCGCTATCAAACCTGAACTGCTGGAAAAGAACAGAGTTATTTTAAAAGAACTGTGTTACAGTCTGGTTCCAGGTACATAAATAGTGTAATTCTACCCCTCCCAAATTAGGTGACATTAACAAGACATGCGAGCTGCATTCTTTTATGGCATGTAACAGTCTCTGCTAGCATCAAGAGCAGAGGCCTGGCAATGTTTACACAGTTGGGGAGGATGGCGTCTCTTACATGACAGGCTTTGCTGATGTCACGTTCCTATCATGAACAGCCGGCGAATTCAGAGCTTGGCACATGCCACAGTATGTCACACAGCGGCTGTAACTGTTGGCACTGGCGGCAATCTGGCGTCCACCTCAGCCCGGCCCCAGTTTGGGAAACGGCTCCTTACATAAGGACACTGGTATTTGGGGCTCGGGCAGCCCTATCACAGCATGTGCTTGAAGCACTCAGCAGGAAAACAAAACTGGGCACCCAAGAGAAAATCTCAGTTTTCCCTGCTAGTATATCTGGATACCTGCAGGAGTACAGAAACTCTGTGGAGGGAGACTCAAGCTGCGTCCTCCAGCTAGAATGACTGAATAGTCTTCCCTATGCCTTTTCCCTCCCTGCTTGCGTGACACAGACAGAGAAGGTAGACTAAAAAGCCGCCCGTACCTGCATCCACTTACGTCTTCCCCACCCCCACCCCTTTCTGCCAGTCCCAGGAGATCTTGGAACTTAAGAAGCGAGACTCAAGGCTTGCAATTCCGTGGGCACAACCCGAGTCCAGCTCTCAGACATCCTTTACAGGGTCAGAGGCAACGTGTACTCCTCAGCCCACCCCCACAGGTCGTGTCTCCCCTTTTTACCTGTATTGTCTGCCCAAATCGCCGCACTGCACCATTTCTTACGGGAGAAATCAGGTTTGCCAAGGAGGTGACCCGAGCCAGAGGGCGGACCCGCTTATTGCTGGGCTCCTGCAAACAGATAAACAAGAGAACACGTTGTACTGAGGGTTTACTCAAGACTTAGGCCGCAGACAGCATCCAGACTGCCTTGGGGAGGGGGCGGGGGCGACAGCACAGCGCTGGGTTACAGGCTGTTTATATCCAGGGAGGCAGCTCAAAAGCACACAGGCCCCTTCCAGGCAAAATATTTTGCCCAAGCACTAACATTATCATCAAGTCACAAACAAGTTCTCAGGCAAGCCAGAACAGCCAAGTCCACTGCAATCAGGACAAACAAGACCGCTTTTTAGAAAGACACACATTTATGTGCTGCTCTTCTAGGATAAAATGGGGTGGTGGTGTCACCCCCCCTTTTAAGTTTTTGCCAGATGCTACAATAAAATCCATCCAACTACAACAGCCAGAAGTGGCTGACAAAGGGCTCAAGACAAGACACGGCAGCTCGCGACACCAAGATGAAGTGGCTGAGCACTGGGTCTCAGAAGACAACTCTGTGTTGTTAAAAGCTTCTTCGCAGTACAGGCCTGAGTGAGAGGTACCAACATCCCAGTGACTAACCAATGTACCATGACAGAAATGCTGCTATGAACAGGTAATGCTCAGAAGGTAAAGAAGAGGATGGGGGAATATCAATGGTTCCCAACCTTGGGCCTCCAGATGTTCTTAGACTTCAACTCCCAGAAATCCTAGCCAGCAGAGGTGGTGGTGAAGGCTTCTGGGAGTTGTAGAACAAGAACATCCGGTAGCCCAATGTTGGGGACCACCGTGCCTAGAACACAGCCATGATCAGAGCAGGGGATGCCTCCCTCTACAATGTTGGTCTTGGGAGGCTCCCTTCCTTAGCTATGAGCCACCACCACCACCCCCGTATTTGCATTTCCTTGCCCGCCTCCCGTGCCTTTCTGGGAAACAAAAACAAGATGGGTTTCAGCCTACAGACAAGGTAAGAGTACTGCAGAGAAACAAGCTGTAGCTCTGCAGGATCTTCTAATTTGACTAAATATCACAATATCTTTACAGCAAAAGATACCTAGGACCCCCGCCACGAAGAAAAGTTGTTACTATGTATATTAGCAAGAAACACAAGACAAAAGCAAAATAAACAACATTTAAAAACTAAAGACGACAAAGATGTTGCGGCACCTTAAAGACGAACTACTCTATTTTAATGTGAGCATTTGGTGGAACAGGCCCACTTCTTCAGAGATAAGAGTGAGAATACATAGAGTACAGAGTGGGGGGTGTCTGAGATAAAGAGATGTGGTGGTTGGTAGAGTCAAGTTGCATTTCACACCTAGCAGTGGTTTAAGAGCCCTGTTTTGTATTCGATTAGTTTCTTTTGAAGCTTTGTTCTGCAAACAGTAGCAATGACTTGTGGCTAAAGAAATTAACAGTTGAAACAACATGTGTTGATGAGGTAAGAACCAGCGGCTATACCTTTGAAGCTTTTTTTGGAGGGAAGGAGAGATATCGAAAGGCCAAAACTGTGGACAGTACCCTAAACTCCGTAGGGCTGAGAGCCACGTCATTAGGATTGACAGGCAACATCTCTCTCTTGCCAGTCATTAAACAGCTGGATTATCTGTTCTCTGTTTGGCCTGACTCCTTCTTTTGATCAGCTCTAGCCCACTGTAGACTGTGGGTCCTTCAGCCCATCCCATGGATAAGTCAGTTGGGTTCAAGAAAAAGTGTGTGCGTGGGGAGAGGAAGCGATAGAGAGAGCACTCTGGACTGCTTTGGCTCTAGGATGGTGCTGCCTATAGAACATGAACAGTTGAAGGTAATTATTAATATTTGGGTTTAATACATATCCATATCCAATGGGCGGAACCAACTTCTTTCCGTACCTCCAAGGCCATAGGAGAGCTATTTGGGGTGGGTGGGGGAGGTTCGTTTCTCTGTAGTTAAAAGGAAGTGGGAAAACCAAACAAAGGGGGGGAAAGCCCATTTTGGCCAAACCTTACTGTCATGTCCTGGAGGGTGATTCATAAATAGCTCTGCTGGAGTCAGTTCACACAGCAGCACAACTCCCCCCCCCCCCCCNCTCGGTTGTCCCATTAAGATACCAAGGAACCCTGAGCAATGATGTCATGCATTCCTCACTATGGGGGTGGACGAGTGCCGTATTCCGTTTCAAGGGTGAGTGAAGTAACTGAAGCTACACAGGCATCAAAAAGCCAGTTCAGCAGAGCCAAGTCTGATCTGAGCTACACTTACAGTTTCACATCACCCCCGATGCCGGGAAGAAGCATTAACAGCTTTCTTTTCAATGTCCCTTTTAATCCAATACGCTGGTCTCCCCCTCACCCCCACCACGGTGTAACCTTGAACTCTGAAAGGAGTAAACGCATGATCTGGCTCCTATCAGGTCCAGACACAATGTATTGGGTTTTTGGGAACAGTGCTATGAAACAGATAATGCCAAAAAACCCCAGAATATTCAAAGAACGAGGTGTGCCAAAAATACAAAGCACAACAATTACAGTAATGAATTTTAAGGGTGGCCTCTAGGTTGCTAAAAAAAAGCTCTTTGAGTACTAAAGTGCACTGGCACAGGGGTAGAAATCTGCTGAAATCAAGTGTTGTAAAACAGAACAGAAAAAGATGAGACCAAGATATGAAAGCTCTTAGGTAATTTTTTACACACACACACACACACACAGAGTTAGCTGGCTATCTCCCTTTTTTCATTTGGAACAAGCAGCACAGATATGAAAGCTCTTCAGAAGATAATTTTACACACACAGACACACTCACAGAGACGCACGCGCGTGCGCACACACACGGAGTTAGCTGGCTATGTCCCTTTTTTCATTTGGAACAAGCAGCACAAATTCTTCTCCCCAGTCTGAAGAGATTTATTAGTTACTATTTAACGATTACATGGATTCACACCAAAGAAAACAGACACCAGCAGCAAAATTGACCAATGACTTTTACTTCTGAGTTGCACATCTTTTGGATCCATTGCCATGCGCGGCCGAAATGTCAGCATAAGCAGAGGCTACAGAAAACCACACGTGTTTTGACTCCACCACTCTCTCAGCAAAGCAATTCAGCAGATTATTTTTAACAACAGTGTTATTTTGAGCAAGTTATTCACCCTTCCTGCTGGGGGAACAGAAGACAAGCTCTCCCTTTCAGTGCTGCAAGTGTTAAAACTGTGTGCCTGTTTTCATTTGAACTAGTTTTTCAAGTTGCTCCAAGAAAGTGCCCCTGTAAGCACACTTCTCTGGAATACTTTTGTCTGCTTTCAGGTGAAACAAATAGCTTTCACACTCCAGTAAGGAGGAGAGAAGCTCTTTCCCCAGAGGCTTTGCATGCTTCAGAGAACAAATCCATTCTGTTCAGTCAAGGTCTTGGAACCAAAGAGAAACTTTTTTTAAGGCTATGAAGTGCAATGGATGGGAGCACCTGGGTAACATGCCTTTCAGAGGGACAACACAGGTTCAGCCAAATGAGGTGAGAGGGCTGGAGCTGAGGGTCATGAGATTTTTCATCAAACAGGTGGAGACAGAAGCTCCCCTCTTACAGCCACACTTGGCAATTGGCTTCTCAGGAGAGACCCGCGTTTGGCCCTATACAGTAATACTTTTATACTCATTGGAATATTCTACATTGTGCCCAAACACCACCAGAAGCGTTCACAGTCCCAGAACATAGTTTCACATCAACATTTTGTCACAACTGCATGTCAACTCCCTTAAGCCCCTTGCAACCTAAACCCAGAGGACCTACAAAGTAAGTAACACAGAGATAAAGGATATACTGCTAAAAAGACATTTCACCTATCCCCTATTCTTGAAAAAGACAACCACCCTGAATTTTTAGGAATGTCAAGATACTAATCACAGCACATCTGCACATGTCTAATGTTATATCAATTCAGCAACCCAACACGCCTACTGCTATTCGCTAAGACAGAGCAACCCTCATCCCCTGCCAGGTTAAGTCATCACCCTGAATGGCAGGGAAGCCTACTTCAGTCTCAACTATCCAACTCAACCGCTGCAGACAGCAAACCTAAAGAAATCACTAAGTAACAGTGGCCGAGCAGAACTACTAAAAAGAAAGGGCGGTTCACTTTAAAAAACTCCCAAAACTCTTAAACCTTGCTTTCAGCGGTTCATGTCAATTCTCAGCTTCTGCGGGTAGGGGTTCTACCTGCACCTACAGGTTCCCCTTCTGCGTTATCAAAGCGGAAGAACTGAATCACAAAGAAACTAACATTGTTTCCGGACAGGATGTCTTATATCACAAGCCTGCACTTGTGGAGGATCTGACTTCTTAATTCCCGTGACTCCCACCACCTCATAAGACACATGGAGGCAGACATTTCTGCAGGATTAAAATGCTTCCACCGCAGGCCACAAGCAACATACCTACCTACCTAATAATCCCATGAGACTGACACAGCTTCATTTACTCAACAGTATGAAAAAGGCCATTAACACGATCCCCAGTGTTGAAACCACGCCTTGCACAAATGCACCCCTCACTCCTATGAGAGAAAGCCTACAAAGAGACAGCCAAGCAAATCATGTGGAAGGCTACTCCATGGCAGGAGCATACTTTCCTGCACTTACTACCCGGTGGTACTTTATACCTTACTTACTTACTACGTCAGTCCCCAATAGTAAAGGTTTTTTTTTCACCTCCTCCAATACCTTGCATTTCAAGAGGTAGACAGGGGAAGAAACAAGAGGAACAAGCCCTAGCAAACTTCCCACTAGGTTTTCTGCATTTTAAAGTTCAGACGCCTCAACCCCCCCCCTCCCCTGGTAAATGGACCGTGGCAGGGTGGGGTGAAGGACACACCGAAAAATCCTCTTGACCACATCCTTCACCATGACAGAGCGGAGCAAAGGGATCTATTTTAGGACAAAACAGGAGCCCGACTCCTGCAATCGAGGGCACTCCTTCTTTTTAACGAAGGGAGGAGGGGGGGCCAGAGTCGAGGCTAGACAGAGCCACCAGACGACCCCGCCGGGTCTCGAAGCCGCGTTTCCTTTCACAGGAAGGGCAAGCGACACCGACTTGGCTCGGCATGAAAGACGCCTAGACTCGCACGCGTTTCCTCGAGGGGAGCCAGCAGCGTCTCCGAGCAGCTTTTCCCGAAAGGTTCGTCGATCAGCCGTTTCCAAAAAGAGGTGGCCAGGCTCGGAAAGCGAACCAGCGCCCCAGACCGGCTCTTCGTAGCTTGCGCTCCAGCAACGCCTTCTTCCCCTTCTCCCTACCAGGGTTGCCACGTCGGGCGCCTTCGCTTCGGAGGAGACGGGACCCCCGCGGAGGGGGAGGGCGCTCTTCCCCGCCGCCGACCGGCAACAAGGTGCGCGCATCTGGCTCGCTGGCCAACCGTTGCGCTCCCCCGAAACAAGCCGCGGGAGCGCTACCTGCAGGTGTCTGTCCCCCGGGTGCTCCGAGACTCTCCTCCTAAGTAAGCCTTCCTCAAAGGCATCCTCCGGAGTCTAAGCATCACAAACAGCCTCGCGGGCTACCTCCCCTGGTCAAGGCGGTTTCCCAAGGGCTCCGGCGCCGCCCGGCCTTACCTCTTGCTCCCGGAACGACTGGTTCTGGGCATCGATCACCCGGATCGTCCTCTTGATGGGGAGCAGCCCCCCGGCGTCATCGTGAGCCACCATATCCCCGCTTCTTCGCGTGGCCGAGCCTCTTTAATCCACCGGCCGCGGCACCTCAGCCGAGACCTGCCCTTCGAGATCGCGACAGTCGCGGGCCGGCTGCAGCGCAAGCACAGCCATCGCCCGCCCAGGTGATGCGCTTTAACCGGCTCTGAGCTGGCTAGCCCCGGGCGCGCGGGCCAAGAGGCAAGGGGCGGGGCCGAGGGGGCGGGGCTTCCTAGCCCTCGGGCGCCATTGGCCAGCCGCTGCCGGCGACACGCCCACCCCTCTCAGGTTCCACCTGGGGCTGGAGCGGCCGCGCAGCCACACGTGTTGCGCGCAGGAGGCGCTTTGCGCAGGATCGTGGGCAGAGCCCTCCTCCTCCTCCTCCTCCAGGGTTCCCGGCGGCCAAACGGCAACACCCAACCCCCCCTTCCCCGCCATGACCCCGTCCCTGAAATGGGTCGGTAGGCCGCTCCCTCGCCCTTTTCCTTGGGGCCCCCAGGCTAGAAGGCGGGGATTTCCACGCACAGGTTGGGGCCGTTTCGTGCCATCAAGTCGCTCCTGAGTTTTGGCGACCCTGTGAACGAAAACCTTCCTAAAAACCACAAAGGCAAGAGTAGGCGATACCTTTATTGGGGCACGAAAAAAACGAGCAAACAGGCCGTTCTTTCTCCGGAAAGTCCTCTCGCAAATTAACGCGCGGAGGTTCCCCTCACGGAGTCAATCCATCCCACCACCTCTTTTTCCGACCGCCTTCCACTTTTCCTACCACGGTCTCTTCCACCGAGTCTTCCCGTGCTTCACCAAAAAAAATGCAATCATCTCAGCTTAGTCATTTTCGCAGAAAGTCCTACTTTCGCACTTGCTTCTTTCACTTTCACTAAAAATTGGTTCGCATTTACAAAGGACTCACCAACCCAAGGAACAAAAGCCACTTACAATCATGAAAATCTGACTTACAAAAGTTTCAGGTATTACCAGAGCGCCAAGACCATCAGAGAATGCCAGCTCCAAAGCATCTCCAGTTCCAGCAGAACACTCCGTTTGGGGGGTCATTTTGAAGGTTTAGGGCCTGAGAACAACAACTGCTGAATCGCATCAGGCATGCATTCAAGGAGAGAAATATACAGGCTGACTTCAGATGTGTTCAGGTACCAAAGACGCAACTGTGCCATAAGTAGCTCATGCTCTGATGACAGCCCCAATGGATTACACCAATGGGTTTTATTTGGGATTTCTTTCAGAAGACTGCCTGGAAGTTACAGCTGATGCCGAATGCCACTCGCTGGGGCAGTATTTCAACAATTCAGAAAACTCTGCACTGGTTGCCAGTGAGCGTCTGGGGTCAGTTTCAGAGTGATGGCTCTCATGCAGAAAGTTCTAAACAGCTGAGGACTTAAAGTATACTTAAAGAACTGCCTCTCCAAGTGCCATCTTTCGAGACTGAGAGGAGAAGGAGGCTTTACGGGTGGGCTTCCTCGGGCAAATAACCTGAAAGGCTGACATGGGTAGTGCAACCTTCTCAGCTCACCAGTGGTGAAATTCGCTTCCTGTAGATCTCCGACTGGCTTCCAGGAGGGTTTTTGTGTGTGTGTCTCATCCCCGTTTCTACTGGCTTCTGGAGGATAGCACACATAGATGACATTTTAATTGATGCCAGTTAATTTTTTTTCCTGTTGGTTTATGATTTTGTTCCTTTAGGATCCGTTTTAATGCTCTCTTAATTTTATTGAGATTATATTCAGCTCTGGGTTATTTCAGATAAAAAAAACAGATCATGGAACTGTTAAAAAAAAATCTAAGAACAGGCACTCTGCCTCAAGCCCAATCTACCCCAACAGTCTGATTCCCATAAGGGGCAACCACAGGCTTCTGGGAATCCCAGAAGCAGAACTAAGGAGGGGAACCGAGCCTTCCTTGTCATGCTCACCAACCAACTGGCCTTGGAATGAACACGGCCTCTGACAGTAAGGCCAATGGATTTATTTTTGCAGTTCCAAAGATGAGGCAAAATGTGCTTTTCTTCCCAGAGTTCTGTAGGTTTGAGGGATTTTCCCGTCCTCTTGTGATAGCATTTTAAAATGAGTTGATAGGGCAGTATACGAATATTATTTAAAATAGTAACAATGTTTATTAAAATGATGAGAATAAAAACTCTAAATATGGAATTGAAACAAATAGCAGGAAAAACAGTAATAGTTAGCAACTAGGCATTGATAGGTAAAGGTAAAGGTCCCCCTTGACAAATGTCCAGTCGTGTCCGACTCTAAGGGGAGTCATCCCCGTCTCCAAGCCATAGATCCAGCGTTTGTAGAGTTTCCGTGGTCACGTGGCCAGCGCAACTAGACACGGAACGCCGTGACCTTCCCACTTATTTATCTACTCACATTTTTACATCTTTTCGAACGGCTAGGTTGGCAGGAGCTGGGACAAGCGACGGGAGCTCACTCCGCCGTGTGGATTCGAACTGCTAGTCTTCCGACCTTGCAGCCCAGAGGCTTCTGCGGTTTAACCTGCAGTGCAAACATGTCCCAATGCCACCACACATCGATAGCCTTATGTAAATTGGTACAAGCCCTCCAGATGGGCTGCCACCATTAGAAGGTTTCTTTTCTGATGTCCATTTCTTATCCCTTCCACTGCACAGACTGTTGCTGCTACAAAACTGCCTTCTTTGACACACCTCCCCCCTGCCCCATTCTGTCGACAAGAGGTCCACTCCTCATTTGAATCCAGCGGCTGTAAGCCACATTATTCAATGTAGAGCTGAACTTAGTCTAACAAGATCTGGGTCCAGAGGCCTGGTAGCAAAAGCAATCAAATTCTCGGTGTAATCGTTAGTCAAGTTGCCTGATTTGTCTTTGTGTGGTCAAAATGGGAGAAGACGCCCTCTATGCACAGCAGCTGGCCATGATAGAAATGTGATGGGCAAAAGCAAATTCTGACCGGCCAGGATCCTGCCAGTATTCACATAAGGTCTGCATCACCTGTCCCAGGGGCAGTAATTGACAAGGGGTTGTGCCTCTGTCATGGGCATCTTCCTTGTGTAGATAAGGTGTGCACAGAACCTCAACAACTACCCACGGCAAGCTGGTTAAACCTGACACAAACAGCACTGTTGCAAACAGAGCCACCATATATATATTACTCAGAAGTAAGTACCATGAAGCCCTGGGAGATTCTCTCAAGAAAGTGGGCACAGGATTGCATCCCATGCCTCATAAGGTCAGTAAACAAATTTTGGGCACACATGAAGATCCTAAAGTCCATCGCTACAGTGTCAAAACAACCACCACACAGAAATGTCACACAGGTATTTGAAAAAGAGGGCAACAGTCGACAAAAGCCTATGCCAGATTAAATGTGCTGTCCTTTAAGGTGCCACAAGACTCTTAATTCCATTTGCCAGTTCCAACTGGACTGAAAAGACCCACAGGGTTGTTGAATGTTGAGGCAACACTTCTCTCCTCTAGTTGGGATTATCAACTGGAGTCTGGACATTTTTTTTTCTAAAACAGAGTATCATAGCAACCTCTTCGGGAATGTTTGAAGTGTCAGGGTAAGTATACACCCACATCCTGAACAAACTCTATGACCTCTAGCATCGCAAAAGGATATGTAGGCTGCTTCTTCAATGGAATTAACCCTCGCAAGTAAACTACTCCTATGCATGTTTAAACAGACGTTTACTCAGAAGTAATCCCCATGGACTTCTAAGGAACCTATAGGCATTGTCCTTGTCTGGTACAAGATCTGACCATTTCTCTAAAACTAGATAACACAGCTGAGGACTTAAAGTATACTTAAAGAACTGCCTCTCCAAGTGCCATCTTTCGAGACTGAGAGGAGAAGGAGGCTTTACGGGTGGGCTTCCTCAGGCAAATAACCTGAAAGGCTGACATGAGTAGTGCAACCTTCTCAGCTCATCAGTGGTGTAATTTGCTTCCTGTAGATCTCCGACTGGCTTCCAGGAGGGTTTTTGTGTGTGTGTCTCATCCCCGTTTCTACTGGCTTCTGGAGGATAGCACACATAGATGACATTTTAATTGATGCCAGTTAATTTTTTTTCCTGTTGGTTTATGATTTTGTTCCTTTAGGATCCGTTTTAATGCTCTCTTAATTTTATTGAGATTATATTCAGCTCTGGGTTATTTCAGATAAAAAAAACAGATCATGGAACTGTTAAAAAAAAATCTAAGAACAGGCACTCTGCCTCAAGCCCAATCTACCCCAACAGTCTGATTCCCATAAGGGGCAACCACAGGCTTCTGGGAATCCCAGAAGCAGAACTAAGGAGGGGAACCGAGCCTTCCTTGTCATGCTCACCAACCAACTGGCCTTGGAATGAACACGGCCTCTGATTCCAAAGTTCCAAAGATGAGGCAGTTCCAAAGATGAGGCAAAATGTGCTTTTCTTCCCAGAGTTCTGTAGGTTTGAGGGATTTTCCCGTCCTCTTGTGATAGCATTTTAAAATGAGTTGATAGGGCAGTATACGAATATTATTTAAAATAGTAACAATGTTTATTAAAATGATGAGAATAAAAACTCTAAATATGGAATTGAAACAAATAGCAGGAAAAACAGTAATAGTTAGCAACTAGGCATTGATAGGTAAAGGTAAAGGTCCCCCTTGACAAATGTCCAGTCGTGTCCGACTCTAAGGGGAGTCATCCCCGTCTCCAAGCCATAGAGCCAGCGTTTGTCTGTAGAGTTTCCGTGGTCACGTGGCCAGCGCAACTAGACACGGAACGCCGTGACCTTTCCACTTATTTATCTACTCACATTTTTGCATCTTTTCGAGCCATTGATAGGTAAAGGTAAAGGTCCCCCTTGACAAATGTCCAGTCGTGCCCGACTCTAAGGGGAGTCATCCCCGTCTCCAAGCCATAGAGCCAGCGTTTGTCTGTAGAGTTTCCGTGGTCACGTGGCCAGCGCAACTAGACACGGAACGCCGTGACCTTTCCACTTATTTATCTACTCACATTTTTGCATCTTTTCGAACGGCTAGGTTGGCAGGAGCTGGGACAAGCGACGGGAGCTCACTCCGCCGTGTGGATTCGAACTGCTAGTCTTCCGACCTTGCAGCCCAGAGGCTTCTGCGGTTTAACCTGCAGTGCAAACATGTCCCAATGCCACCACACATCGATAGCCTTATGTAAATTGGTACAAGCCCTCCAG